ATTTCAGGTTCATCACCTCACCTGCAGGTCCTCAAACATTTCAGGTTCATCACCTCACCTGCAGGTCCTCAAACATTTCAGGTTCATCACCTCACCTGCAGGTCCTCAAACGTTTCAGGTTCATCGCCTAACTACAGCCGTCAATTTCTCGATTAAACTCGATTATTGAAAACCTGCGATAATAATTTTCCTTCTCGATTTCTCCCCAAAGTGGCAGGAGGATGAGGGTCCAGATAAAGAGCAAAAGCATCATTTCTGTGGAAGTTCTTCACGGTAAAAGCGAATGAAAATGCAGTGTCAGCAATGCAAAGCAGAGCCTCAATATCACCAAAGCACAACTGCAATGCAAATACATCTGAAAAGACATTATGGTCTGACCCAATAATGCAACGTTAGCCACAGAAATGTCCGCTTTCCATGATTTACCAAAAACGGTAGCATATGACACGCTCTGCTAGCCGAATTTAGTAACCATAAGGATTCACCGAAGTTATATAGATTTTGTTACTCTCTAATTACTATTTTAGACAGACAATATGCTTATTGAATGGTGGGCAAAATAATGTCTGCATATCACCAAAAAAGCCATCGTCCATTATTTAAGCCCTGCAATGACATACAGTTTGCTGTCTAAATAAAATTAACTTAAAACAGTGAAGTTGATTTTCTGGAGGAAAATTGTTTAGATTAATCGACCAATCGGCAAAATAGTCAATAGATTGCTAGAAAAATAGCTGTTAGTGGCAGCCCTAGATAGTACTGAAAAGAACCATCATTAAAATTGCAATGTCTGCTAAGATTTGTTTCCTTTGAGTAAAAATATTTTAGTGCAACTTATCGATGATTTGAACCCAGCGGACTATCGTGGTCCGTGTGACGTGACGATTGCACGTGCATGAAATGCCATGTCGATGTTAATATCGCACATCATGCAAGCCTGTCAGAGCGGTGACAGTGTTGCAGTGGGTATCGCTGTCGATTTCCCTCCAGAAAATCAAATTGACAGTTTAAGTTAATTTTATTTTGACAACAACAAACTGTATGTTATTGCTGGGCTTTAGATAAGAGACGAGGGCTTTTCAGCACAATACGGACATTATTTTCATCCACAATTCAATAACCAGATCAGTAGTGCGCCTAAAATATTAATGAGATGCGTACCGTGATGTCCAAAGGTAGCTATCCTTCTGCTTATTAAATCTGTTCAGTGGAGCACACCACATGATATTGTTTTGGAAAATCATGGAAGCGATAAACATCTTTTAAAAGAGGAAATATTGCAGTTAAACTAGGCAGAGAGACTTTTTGCAGAATATTCGATTTTTTTTTAAATACAAGTACAAAATGTATTGAAATGCTCTCCATACTAATGGAAATGTAATAAACATGAATAGACGGCGCTCATGGTGGTTTTGCCAATTCTGCCGGCCCATCATCCAGAAAGGCTGTGTGTTTCCCCGGCAGGTGCTTGTGCGTGACATCAGTGCCGGGGGAAGTACACCATCGAACTTCGCACACTGTACAAAACACTTTTTTGTTTTCTGATCATGTGAACCACTCCCATAATTACGTAGTGATACTGAAGGAAAACATCGCGAGCGCGTGTATATAGCTCCGTGTATGTCATCGTAAATAGCCCTTGTATTGTTGTTGCTGTTGTTATGGTTAATACTTGTGTTCCTGATTGTGGAGTGTGTGTTTGCTTGTGTGTTATGTGAACCCTGTCCGATCCTCACATGTCCTCAGCTTGTATAAGTCTCCCCCCGCGTGCGTACCTTACAGTACGGCGTCTAGCCACCATGTGTTATAATGGGTTCCGTGTTCTTCGGGTGTCTGTTATAGTCCTATTAAGAACTGCAACAAAAGAGCTTTGTTCTTCCCTAAACAAACCTCCTCCTCATTCACTGGTGTTGCCTCAGTCTGCCAGTCATCACGATTTGTTACAATGAACTGAAGCATTTTAGAAATCATAAAGGTCATTTAATTAAAATGATTTCTTAAAACGATACATCGATTTAAAATATTGATGTCGATGGATTTTCAGCATCGACATCATCGACTACGTCGACCAATCGCAGCAACCCAAATGAAGTGTTTGGGGTTCACTCCTCCCATCTTAAAACTGAGCATATTTCTGCAATAATGTCTCACACTGAAAAAACAATGGCAAGAACGCTAACAGCCTGCTGTGTTTTTCCCAAGGAAAAGTGTGTGATTCCGAACAGGAACTCAATGGCAAAGACACATTTCAGCAGGAGCTTACTTCTCCCTGACAATAAAACAATGAACACCTGCAAAGCAATATTCATTCAAATCAACAGGCCCACCCGCGTATCCGCGAGACAGAAGACAACGAGATTCAAGTCAAAGAAACCCCTTCTTCCAGCCAGCCTGTGTCAAACAAAACTATCACTACATCTATGAAGCATCTGCCTGACCGACCACTTAGGGAAAATCTGTAAGTGCACTGCTGTTCACTGGATCTCTCTGAACTGTGGTCAGCTCTGAGATCTCCTGTCCCAAATTAGAGAGATCAAATACCACAACGCTTCCAGTGGCACTTAGGCGGATGTAGCGAGCCAGCTAGCTATTAGCACTGTACTCACAGCAATGACTTCCTCATGGTTTTATTAAGATGATATGTAATACTGTTTCATTATTACATAATATGCCTACTAGTTTCCTAAACAAGCGAATTCGCTGTTCATTAATCAAGCTTAAATCTTCTTAATGCATTTCATGTTTATCTAACCTCCCATTAACTTAACATTCTGTATGTTCAGATGACACACATGCTTCACTGCACACTGCTTTAAGCCTGCAAAGCTTGCTACCAAAGAAATGTATCAGTTATCAAAAGCGGCAGAATCAATCTGCCAATAACATTCAGATAGCAAGAAATAGACACTTTACCTTAAACACAAGCCATGTTTGTGCTCCAGACAGTTAAAATAGCCATGAATATGAGAAACAGCATTAAAAAAAATTAAACACTGCGAATGCTTCCTGAAATATTTAAAAATATATAGTGTGACGTTTTTTTTTTGCATGATTACTACATTCTACTACTGATTACTACAAGAACATTTTACAATCCAGTGAGCCCAGCTGCCACTACAGGCAGACTGCCCATGATAAATGTAACAGAGCAGTGACACGGAAGATGCCCAGTGAGCCCAGCCATTATACAGTGACCCAGTGCTCAGAAGTGAACTTTGCAAAACAGGAGCCCCTCCTTCAGTATAATGACATCATCATGCAGTGTCACACCATGTCTCTGCTTTACATCTCCACAGTCACGTTCAGTACTGGCAGGTAAGCACAGTGCAATGCAACAACTGGCACACAATGCTGCAGATTCAACCTGTCACCTCTACATGCAGAAATGTCACATTTGAATATTTTTTTCATAAAACTAAAGGGTATATTTCTTACCCTTCTTCGTCAACCTACTGTCTGTCATTATTTCCTTCAAAAACCACACTGAAGTTATTCCGCAAAATGCAATAATTTTTCAGCATTCTTCAGCTAAAATACTGGTGAAGTTCACCCTGAATTTTCTCACAGAAGCCTACAAAAAGCCCACTAAACTAGGCACCAAAGTAAACATTGAAAAACTAGGCTTTTCCCAGAATCAAAAACAGAAACCCTTCGTGGAAATGAAAGTGAGACCCCCACTCATCAGGTCAGGGGGCAGCCCAGTAGTCGTATCGCAAAAACTGGAAAATATCACTCAACTTGATTTTTTTTTTTGCGTCTTTATTTGATACCAAAATAAAATGTTTTGATTTATTAAACCTGTGCCAATTTTCATTTTTTTTTTTTATCAGTACCCAGTCACATTCAGTCATTAGGTTTTAATAAGGTGTTTCACACGTGGCCTGTCTGGGGCCCTGGAGGACGGGGCTGGGAAACACCGGTTTACACCACTTTCCAAAAGGATGTGTCACATGGGAATATGATATAGGAAATTCAACAGTGAGAAAACACAGAGTACAGTATCAAGGCGAAATTCATTACGGGCAACTGGCAATAAGCCAGGTTGTTTTGCTATGCAAATTAACCAAGCTGTATGCAGAAAGCTGGGAGAATGGGGACAGATGCAACAGGAAGTGGACGTGTGCCACATATTGTAAACTGTCACCATATATCTTTACAACTTTGAGTGTCATCACAAATAACTTATGTGGCTCCAAACAGTCTGGAGGATTAACATCATGAAACAGCCAATAAAAGGACTACAGAGGAATACAAAGACATTCCCTCCCCATGTTATAAGGAGGTAGTAAAATAAATGAGGATAGCTGCTGTATTATATAGCAGCAACATAAACAGTAGTGTTTATAAAGGGGGGGGGGGGCAGCCTGATCACCTGGATGCACCGTGACTCACTCAGTGCGGCTCTATAGCAAAACGGCCGGATAGAAAGACGCTTCTGATACCCGTCGAAAATTAATATTCGGAAACAGCAAAAATAAAACGCATGCATGGTCTTAAAATAAATGCTTACATGTGCGAAATATTGTAATGTAGTTCCGTATAAAACTATGCAAGTAAAGCAAAGGTTACGCGGCCATTTACAGTAATAACTCAATCGGCCTGGCGCTATGTACTGGCGTTTCAAAAGCAAAGCAAAACAAAGGTTACTGAAGGAGATTCCGGACATAAATGACTGGAGGGGGAGAAAACTTCATATATAATGACTGAGCAATTTGCGAAGGACGTGCAGAATCGCCGGCCAGTGCGAATCTCTCCCTTTTTCTCATACCGGACGCGGGTTTCACAGGCCGATATTAACCCCACCCGCTACACCCCACTTATGACCCCTGCATTTAAAACACTGTGTACATTAACGTATAACTATAAGACTGTGGCACAACACGGTACATTATAGCGCACTACCCCCTCGCACAAAGCCGTGCAGTAAAACCCGACAGGAATTTCTGCAGAGAAAGACCCCATTCGCCGACAGCCATAAATCACCCGGTATCTGTAGGACCAGATTTCCTCTAATGGGCTAATTATCAATCTCATAAGTGACCTAGTCCAAATTTGCTTAAAAAGTGATCACAGTCGTGCAAATGAGATCATTCGCGAAGGTCGTGATAGATAAAGGCTAATGCATATATCAGTGATGATAGTAATAAATAAATATAATGCCGTTAGCCTGTTATGTTAATCAACAAGTACATGGACCCCCCCGGCACAGGGTGGTCGGCTGGTAGCCGCCACATCAGCTGTGTAATCACCCCCGAATTTTTCTTACATCTCATTCTGCACTGGGTCCCGACAAAAAGCACCGGGGCCCCGTAGCCCTACACGGAGCGGCCGGCCGGGGGTACCGAAGGGTGCCTAACGGACTAGGGCTGTAGGGCAGCCCGGCGAGCGCTGCCCCCGGCCGCCAAACAGCTAGCTAGGCCGCGCCGCCTCGGCTTCTCTGTAGCGAAGCGCACGCCGGACACCGGCTGTTTCGCCCCACCGCTACTGAAACATGAAAACGCCGTAACATAATGCAAGTAACTGGCCGCTGAGCGGAATTTGCTTCTGGTGACAGTCAGTACGCTGCAGAAAAAATGTATAGCGAAATAACTGTACCTGAGAGAGCGATGTGAGCGCAGCCATCTTCCCTGTTGCTGCGGAAATGCGCAGCCCGGTCAATGTGAAAACGCGCCCCCAAGCGGCCGAGAGCGCGCAGCGTGCACGGCGACGCGGGTGGTGCTGCTTGTCTGCCCAAAGCGTGTTTTACGTTTGTTTCTCAGATCGTGAACGAACAAATTCCAAACTGTATTTGTGGACGTTTTGAAAGAAATTTATACAGCATATCGATTATTATCATGTGTGAGAAACAGAGGTTCCTAAAGGTGCCCCAGTGTTGGTCATCATCATCTCTAGGACTGTGCATTGGCGATGGTGCTGAGCAACATTCTGGTACCTCAGGGATCCGTCCTGTCTCCCTTTCTGTTTACCTTCAGAGTACTGAGGACTAGTAGAGTACTTTGTCCTGTGGGTCAGGGAGAAAAACCCTGCAGCTCAACATCAGCAAGACATGGGAGCTGGTGGTGGACTTCTGGTGTGATAAGGAGTATCTGAGAACGGTCACCATCAAGGGGGAAGAAGTGCAGGAGGTGCAGGGCTAAAATTATCTGGGGGGGGGGGGACCTGAACATCAGACTTGACTGGGCAATTCTGCCCACCTGCTCCATGGGAAGCTGCGTTGGAGCACCTACATACATCAGCTCATTCTGCCACGGTGCCTTAAGAAGCTCTACTGGGAATCCTTTCTGCCTGCTGCCATCAGGCACTGCAGCGCACTACAGCACACTATAACACACTACAGTGCACTACAACGCACGACAGCCCACTACAACACACTACAGCACACAACATCAAACTACAGCACACTACAGCACAATACATCAAACTACAACCAACTATAACGCACTATGGCACATTACAACGCACTACAGCACACTCCAGCACAATACATCAAACTGCAGCACACTACAACGCACTACATCAAACTACAGCACCACACACTACCAACCATAACACACCAGGAAACATCCCAACTGTAACGTTAAAAGTCAGATACTATGTTTTCTAATTGCAATATACCATCTGCTAAATTATTTCCTTAATATTACACTTTTCAAGATACTCTGTGTACTTTTTAAATTCGTTTGCACTGCCTTTACTCCTTTGCCCTATGGGTACTGACTTAGCACTTACCTGTTATCATTATTATGAATGTTCATCTGTACTGGGATCGTTAATGTTTCATTTTAGGTATTAATAAACCTTTTAAAATCATTATTTGCTATTTTGTGACAAACGTATTGTGCATATCATGTCATTATATGGAAAATAACGGATGTATAAACATTGGTCATTTTCAGAAAGTCTGCTTCGTTTTTAATTGCACCGTTTTCATCGCTGTGTTACGGCACCTTCCATCCACGTAAAAGAATTACTGCAATGCCTGTAAGTTCGCGGGCATGACACTGGAACTCTGCATAAACCAGTTTGTTTGTTTGAAAAACTAATATACTACTTGTTGTTGTCTGATACATTGTCATTTGAATGAAGTTCTTCAACATATATGTAGATTTTGCCTGTTTCAGTATGATCTAATTGTACACATCAACAGCGTTAAAGAAATATGACGTAAAACTATACTGCCTATGTTCATCACCTGCTGCTGCAGTCCCAGGGTGTAGAGAAAGAATAAGATCTAATGTTCTTGGTCAGACTTTGTGCCACAACATCACAAGCCTTCTATGATTTTTTTGATAACACGTCAAAAATTTAGGTGTGACTCTGAGCAAGGGTCACGATCTTAGACATTAAGCAAGACCCACATGTCTGGTTTCTGGCTTTTCTTGGGAGTTAGGGGCTATGGTAACAGCATACAATCCATCCATCCATCCTCCACGATGACCCAGCCCAGAAAGCTCAGAGCTGGCAGAATACCCTGGACAGGAGGAACTTAGGTGTGGCCATTCCATTAAATCATGACTCACCATGATTCAGGAAAAATAAACAAAAGAGGATTCACAACCCAACATACAGCTTTGTAAAAGCTATTTATTTTATATATTGCTAAACAATGAACCCCAGAACTAATGAGAAAGCGGAGCCTTCGATAGGTGAAGAGCTTATGGCTGAAACACGTTTCCGCCTCATTGACTTGTTTTACGCTAAAGGCAAAAGAATAATCAAAAATTTCACAATGATGCTAAAGTTAGTGACGTCACTGCTCGTTTTCGAAATGAACAAGCATGCTTCAGCTCACAGGAGCCTTATTCACCGCAGTGCGACATTCCTTCACTTTATCATGAATGTATTATTCTTTAAATCACACTTCTGTAAAAACCAAAGTTCTAATTACAGTATTTTACAACAGCACTGCAGGGTAACAGTCAGATGTGTTCAAAACTTTGAGGGGAAATATGAATACTTTTAACAAACATACCCAAGTGCTTTCTATTTTAGACACTCTGCCAAGATTTGTGTTGATTTTGTGCTGCTACTATAGACTAAATAGATTCTATAATACAGTTTGCAGATCGGGCTAAAAGTAGATGATTTGGGGAAGAGATATTGGTTACCTTCAAGAAAATATTATTTGATAAAATGGATAAGAATTCATGTAAATCCCTTGGAGGATTCCAAAGAAAAAAGATCATCTTGGATAATTAATTTTTGGGTGGAGGGGATTAGTGGAAAGCACCGGAAAACAATAAATGTCATTATGTTCTAATTGAGTTATATTTGTATGCTACTCTCGCTGGAACATGTAGCTCTGTAATCTTGAGTTACTTTAGGTACATTACATGGTGTTCAAGCTAAATATTACTGTGGTGATTTCCATAGTAAATATATCACTTTAGGAAAAAAAAAAACACACACAGACAACCAAAAAACCTGCATGGTTTTCTTGTCCGAATGTCTTTCATTGTAAGATATTGCATGGTGTAGACAACTCACAAAATAGATCGAGAGGATCATGAACACTGCCGTTTGTGTGCATTTCAGCGGTAACTGGTCTTCCCATCAAATATTTATATGCACATACAAAAACAATCCTTTCAAACATGTCTTGGTCTTCATGCACACCAGTATTTCCCATTTAACCCGTATCAGTTTAACCACAATATTCTTTAACGTCCCGATACCCCTAGTAACACTTCATTTATAGGATTTAATTTAAACTGCAAACTCTTATATTTGAGTAAAATCACTCTGTTTCAGTGTTAACCGAACAACGCCACTGAATTCAAAAATAATTTAAGAACAACAATAATAATAATAATAATAATAATAAAACAAAGTCCTCATTGGGCAGCACACTAACGCTGACTGTAGTTTATCGCTGAAGTTTTGGAGAAAATGTTTTAATTGTGGCGCCATCAATCAATCAACTCTCAGTGCATGTCTGCTCTTCCTTCCTCTAAAACAATGCTGTGCTTGTCGTAATCTAACAAAATGTCATTTTTCGGTCTTGCTTTCCTAGCTGCCTTTAGCTTTCAAAGTACATTTATTCGCAAAACTAAGGATCATCTGTTGCCTTTTTTTCTGGAGAGAACTGGCGAGTTTAGAGAAACGTTAGTACTGCAAGTGAAAGCAAAAAAGTGCATAAGCGAGAGAGATGCAAAATATGTATGTAGAAACAGAAATACATTATTATTATTTTTGTTTTTCAGGTCACGTTTATCCTGGAGTAACAACAAAAAGTAAAATAAATAAGCCTATAAAGCCACTGGGGAATTGACCCCATTTACAATATGTTTATGTGAGGCGTTAAACATTGCAAGTTGGCCTGAATGTGACCAAGAGCTACAGATCCTCAGACAGAAATGCACGGGATGACATCAAAATTCCAAATCAACATAACTGCATCTCATCTTTTATCTGCCAATTAATTTCCGTTAGCTCTCCAATGTTGGCACAGCATCTACCCGGACAGCAGGCCATGTCCGAATGTGACACGCGTACAAAGAAAACGATCGGGCCTGATGGGAAAGGTTCGAAGGTACATGGTAAGCAGGTCCAGCAACATGGTAAGCAAAAAAAAAAAAAAACCAGTGTAAATGCAAAAAATAAAAATAAAAAACCCACACACACACACACAGCACATCCAACTGGAACAGCAGCAGTGAGAGTGTGTAAACGACAATGATTTCAGAAGAAGGAAGGGGCGTGGCTATCATGGCTTGGCCCAATCAGGAACATTCTTGAGTGGCTGACAATGGCTGGAAACCCTCTCCTGTTCTTGCACACAGCACTCTCTCCACTGCTCGACTCCACCCGTCCTCTCAAGCAAGCAGACAGTCACTCGTCATCGAAATTCTGCTGGAGGAGGAAATTTGCGGCGAGATTCTCGTTCTTTTCGCAGGCGAAATAGGCTTGGATGACTAGTCCTTCCGGAAACCCCAAGGCTTTTAACTGCAAAGGAAAAGAAAAGGCTGTGAGGACTGAAACGCTCACAGACACATGGCTTCCATGCGAGCCACCGCCTCTCCGCACACAAACAGGAGCTAAACGAGTGTTACCCGTTCGATGGCTTCTTTCTCTTGTGGAGTGACCTGGATGTAGTTCGTCTGTGGCACCCCCTGCCCCTCCGCCCCCTCCCCGCCTAGGTCACCTCCGTGCGGCTCATTCAGCATCTGCACAAATCGTTCCTGATGCTGGGTGATTTGCTGTGAAACAAACCAAATGCACATGTAAAGATGCAGTGCATAATGCTACGTACCAGCTCCAATAATCAGTCTCTTCAGTGGGCGATAATACCACAGGTCTATATGTTTGGCTGGGGGGTGAGTTGCTTGGTCAGTAGCTTAATAAACTATATTAATTAAACTAGGGAACATTAAGGTGCAAACAGGGGCAACATCCATTAGTGAAATTACAATAGTACAGAAACACAAAGATCTCAGGGTCAAAGGGGAAAACGGATCGTTAAAAAAAATACTGCATTTTAAAGATGGACTGCAAGTGATGCATGACAGTGTCAAGGAGCAAAATCTCAATTAAAAATTCATCCAGGAGCACAAACTTCAGTCTCTGCTGGGCAAGAGTTCGAACTGGAATTAGCACCATTCACAGTGTGTTTGGTGGGACCTTTCTGCTTTCAGATATTTACATTTAATTTTACATTTAATTTATTTCACGGACGCTTTTCTCCAAAACCGCGGGTAATTGAGAGGGCAGGATTAGACAGTCTGCGGGTTACGAGCTTTGCTCAGGGGCCCAACAATAAAATCACTCTGCCGACTCGGGGATTTGAGCCGACAACCTTCTGATGACGGGCAAATCGTCTGAACCTGTTAAGCCACACACTGTACACAGAGAGTGTGGCTCCCCGGGGTTCCCCCCACACTGACCTGAAGCAGCTGGGGGTTGTCCCTCCCCAGCTGCTGAAGCAGAGCTGGTAGGAGGGCCGGGTTCTGCTGTATGATCTGACGCATCTGCTGGAACTGCGGCTGGTTCCTCAGGAACTCCAGGGGATTCCCAGCGGACTGCGACGCGGGCGAAGACACAGCCCCCGCTTCCCACCCGGAACAGGAAATCACAGGTTAACGAGACACACGTCAAAGCAGAAAGCTTTCAAGTGACACCCCCACCCGGCCCCAGTACAGCAGAGGAGCCCCCAAGTAGCATTGTTCCATCTCAAAGATGGCCACACGAGACAGGAAGAAGAGACGAGCGCTAAGGCAGCACTGAGGGAGACAGATCTGGAAAGGAGGAAAGCGGCCGGCCGCTCACTGCCGCCTGCAGGGGGAGCCGGAGGCCTCTCTGTGGCGGGGGTGCTGGGGTTTGCCATTGGAAGCGGGTGGCTCATCTCCCGGGGGGGCAGGTCCGGTTCGGAGGGAATTCCCTGTGACAGAAAAGCCACCGTTCAGCTGTCACCCTCTGTCTGGGTCACGGACCGAACTGACCAACTCGCTGAGCCAGAATTGCGTTCAAACAATATGGTGAGACAACAACAAATCCAATTCCTCCTACATTTAAAAGCCAATTAAAGTCTGGAGGAAATCTGATTAAAAACACAGAAGTACAGACATACCACATGAAGGGTTTTTTTTTTTTTTTTTTTTAAAAAAAGCAATTAAAATGCAAGGGTAGAGCTGCAGGCAGTTCAGGTGTCATGTGCACTAACACTGGAATAGACACACTGTCGGCCGAAAGTCTCCGTGGGAAGCCGGAGCTGTTGTTCCGCCCACAGTCAGTATAATGCAAAAATCCACGACTGTACAACACGAGCTCAGCACAAACACAGCTCTACAAAGACAGCAAGGCTGCTTTTAACTGCGGGATGCTGACAAAATGCATGTCGATTTCGTTTTGAAATCAAGCTCAACAAACAAAGAATCACAACAAACCACAACGAATCACAACAAACAAAGCATTCCTATGAGCTTTTGTTCTTTACTCAATGAATTTTTAAAACAAACGCCTTAAAAATATCACTCATGTTGCCTTGGACATTATTAATTAATTAATACAAGTCAGGGGTGTCAAACTGCAGTCCTGGGGGGCCGGAGCCCTGTGTAGCTTAGTTCTTTCCCCGTTCCACCACAAATGATTCAGCTGTGTGGTAATTAGCACAAGGAGTTGAATCAGGTGTGTTAAATGAGGGGAAACCCAAAAACGTGCAGGGCTCCGGCCCCCCAGGACTGGAGTTTGACGACACCCGTGTCAAACGAAGCTGCATGATGCAGGGGCCATGACAGAGTGGAAGCCTAGAGCTTCACGAAGCTGCATGATGCAGGGGCCATGACAGAGTGGAAGCCTAGA